CATCACCTACGAAGATGCAATCGTTGAGGCGACGGACGGTGTGGCGTTCACATCCCACGAGGCGGGAACCCGGGCCCTCAAAGCCAGCGAGCACCTTTATTTTTGTTTTAAATGAACCGCATCGCTCTTCTTCTTCTTCGAGCTATTATTATTTGTCGTTGGGAATTCGTTTTAAATCGGGAGAGCTGACACCTCGACAGCGCCGGGCAGTCACGTGCTCGTCATCCCGGCGGAGCTCCAACGTCACGGTCTGCACATTGCCACGAACTCCTCCTCCATCCCCTCCCCCTCCCTCCCTCCCTCCCTCCCTCCCCCCTCCCTCTCTCCTCCAATTTCCTCACTTCTCAAGACTTTTGTCCCTGGGCACATCCACCGGGACCCCAACAACCCTCCACCGCAGTCGCCCCCCTCCAGCCCCCACCCACCAACCCACCCCTCCACCCTCATGGCCAACAGATGCGCTTGACACGTGCCGCCCCAATTTACGCATGAATTAACAGCTCATTTGCACCTCAATGCAGCCAGCCCCACACGGCTTTGGGTGATTGGACCTGGAGACCTGGATGTTTGAGAGCTCTCCCCCCCCCCTTCCCACAAGGGCGTTTGTACAATGGAGACAGAGTCTAGCTTAATAAAGCATTTAAACACACCAGTGGCCGAACGTGAAATATGTGTCTATATGTACATGGTGACACCAGAAGTGAGGACACACATGTTTACTTACAATTATTTTAACAGTTGGCATTGGAACCTTTCAATTGTTTCTTCTGTAAGTGAATATTCTATCCGTTTTCATTATTAATATCTATTTTTCTCCTTCATTTTGAGATGACATTTAAAAATGGAAAGAAAATTCTACCCAAGGCGAACGAGTTCAATTAGTTTTGTTGTTATTGTTGTTATGTTTGCCAAAGAAGGCAGCTGTAACCTTCTATTTAAAAGAAAGTCCCCAATTTATTTGAAAATAAAAGTCACGCGCGCATCAACGTTAATGGAAGTCAGTTTGAGCATGTGTTAAAATAAATGAAACAAACTACTCGATTCGTTAAAAAAGAAAGTAGATATAATAGCCCTACGTGCCCTGACCTTTGGGCCACTCTGTACACACCGTTGGGCATTTCGCTGGGAGCCGGGTAAGCGGTGACTGGAATGTGTGCTCCGATTCACCCCACCGCCAGCGATGACACGAACCCAGGGTGCCGTCGAGTACAAGTCAAGACTCATTTCTCCTCCGCTTACTTATTTCACCCTCTCGTTTGTATCGTTTTCTCGGTTTCCATCGCCTTGCTCGAACGCCCGCGGCCTCAACGAAAAGGTTAACCCGGGCCGCGACGTGCGACGACTGGGGGGGGATGCATTTGTAGCGCCGCGCCATTCTGAAATGTTGCTGCGTTGCGGTGTGAATCGTCGGACGGTCGCGCCGTAAGTGCAAGTGGCGGCGCCACGACCCGGAGCAGGCGTCGGAGTGGCCGGAGCGGCAGCATGGCTGGAATTGACCAAAACATCCCCATGTAACGGGACCCGCCTCCCCCCCCATCCTAAAAGCACAAGGCTTGAGACTCAAACGGCAACTGTCGTCGTCATTGTCATCGTCATCATCGTCGTCATCGTCATCGTCATCGTCGTTGTCGTCACCCCGGCGCTCGCCACTCAATCGTGTTCACAACCAGGACCGAGTACATTTTGATGAGGGCCCCTGTGGCTGTTATGGGGGATTTGTTTTAAGGGGGGGGGGGGGGGGTGGGGATGCCCCCTCCCTCTCCGTGCGATATTCAATGCCTTCCCTTGACTGTTTGACCACCACACACTGTCGACATTCACCGCGGCTATTTCAGTTTCGGTATTGTTTTTTTGCCATTTTTTTTCAAGCGACGTCCGAATGTTGTCACGATAAATCAAAGTTAAAACGAAAAAAAACTATTTCAATTTCGGCACGTGGCCGGTAGCGGCACACACAGCCATGGTCGTGGCTGTAACGACTGAATCACCCAAAGGGATCTGTCGCACCTCCGATTAGCACGGTTGGCTACATACGGCATGAAAGAAGTTCAACATGCACATACATCTATCTATCATAACGCTGCAGCATTGTGTATCGACCTTAATGTGGGGTGGGAGGGGGGGGGGTCGTGCCCCCTCCCTGAAGCCACCCTGACTGGGCCCTGGCTCCCTCCCACAGCGACGTTCGGGTCCGACGAGGCCGTCGGCCGGCCGGACACGCTGTCAGCATCGTCCCTGGGCTGACATGGGCACCCCATAGATGCCTGCGCAGCGAGACTCACGACCTCCTCTTGATACCAAGATCCAGGATGGTCACGTCTATTGCGTCGCTTCTCGGTGGCAGCCCCAACAGTCTGGAACGCAATCCCTCTGCACATTCGCAGCATCACCTCAATCGCCTCCTTCAAGAGAGACTTAAAAACTCACCTCTACAATCATGCTTTTCGAGCTACTCTGAGCTTGGCTCCGCGCCTCTGAGTTGCGGCCACTGCGTCTGCAAATTTAGGCGCGTTACAAATTGAACTATTATTATTATTATAGGGCAGACACTGCCTGTAACCCTCAGAACCCGCGTATGACATTTCACTTAAGGTCACTAAAGATCAACAACCCCTTGGTGCTGGTGATGGCAGTGGTCCTAATCACGTGGCGTCTCTCAAAACGCCGACTGATTTTCGCCGTCGTCACTTTGAAGCTCTAAGTAATTTCACCCCTGACCTCACTCGGGTTTATTAGCGGACGGCCGAGGATTTCGGGATGCCCTGCTCACGGCTAACGTCAGTGGCGAGCGATAATGGAAACTCCTCCTGAACGCCTCAACCCCTCCATCCCCCCCCCCCATCCCTCCACCCTGCCTCCCTTCACCAACCTGCGCTGACCAGCGTGGTGAAGTGTGGGTCAAACAACCCGCAGGACTGACGCGGAACGGGGAGGCCTTCCTCCAGCACGAGGATTGACAGGGCAAAGGTGCAGCTCCGTGGTTGCTTGCTCACGCACTACTGCTGGCAAGGGAGCTCCTCTGGAGGGTATTTGGCCTACTCTTCCACACCGGCCAGGCACCTTGGAAGAAGTTGGGAGTGAACCGCACTTTACCCCACCACACGCGGCCCGCCGATCGACTGCGGTGAACAGGCTTATACAACTGGTTGGACAGAGACTGTAGTGGAAAGGGGGGGGGGAGGGGAAGTGGGGGGGGGGGGACGGGGGGAATGGGGGGGGCAGAGAGGATTTAATTAACTTGCCCCCCCATTTTTTCAACTGGGAGAATGAATCAAACGGGCGAACTTTGGGTTGCAAGTCCGCTGCACTGCTGACCGCCACGCCGTTCCTGTGGCAGCGTCGGTCGTGATTTTGGCATCGTGTGGCCAAGAGGGTGAGAGGTCATCGAAGGGGGCCACTGCTGACGAGGCCGCCATCGCTCCCTTCCTTCTGCCAGATCCGACAGCCGTTGCACAATCGACGACCTCGTCGCCCATAGGTGCAATAGAAATATAATTTGCGAACAAAAGCCCGAATTCTAATGGCGCTGACAAGTTGCGCACAAAAAAAAAAATACCGGACTCCCATCACTTTAATTGTAGTTTCCGCACGCAGGTGAAACAGTGGTAATTATGTGCGTTATGAATTCGGCGAGATTAAATTACCGGCGAAATCACATTTGAATAATAGATGAAAAGCTCTGCTGCTTCAGCAGAGCGTTATCTGCGGGGCGATAATACAATTTCGCCCAAAAAAAAATTCACGCAACGCAACAACGCGAATTAACGTTCGACAGGAAAGAATTACCAAAGTCTGTTTCGCGGCGAAATTGAGCCCGTGGGAATACAGGGAACGCCGTGAACAGGACTTACTTAAAATGCAAATCTTTCTAAAAGTGGACAAAACACATCGCCCTTCTCCCATCGCGGAATTATTTACAACGCGTTCCCCTTTATATAAATCCCGTGATTAAACTTAACCCGAAAGCAGCAGGCATCTCTCGTCATATCTGCAAAGCTAAGCGGCGGAGGTTGAGCCTGGCGAGCGCCCGGCGCTTACACGAGCGGGGCTCTGGGAGCCGACGCGAGGGTTTTGGGGATCGGGAGGTAGTGGGGGGCGGGAGGCAGCGGGAGCGTTTGGTTGGGGGGCGCGCTGTCGCCGTTTCACGGGTGGCAAGGCGACGCGGCCTGACACGCGTGGCGGGCGACTGATTTCACTGGTCAACACACTCTTTCTGGAATAAGGTATTCCAACGGTTTTAATGTAATTTTGGGGGTGCTGATTCCAAATCTGGCATCAGTTTTTTGAGATATCAAATATTGCATTTTCAATAAAAACTGCAGAAGAAAAATATTAAATAAATGTGGATATCTACATAAAATGATATTATAAACACACTATCCTAAAAATACAGCACCATATATTAACACTAAAGCAGTCACTGACTCGCAACAACTTGCAATCATAAGTGACAGAGTTAATTTCGGGTAAAATAAATGAAAATGGGATATGCCGATAGCATAAAATGAGATGTGGTAGAGCAAATCTGAGATCAAATTTGGAATCAGCACCCTGAAATTGGTCTAAAACAGCTGCAAAAGTCCAGGCCAGAATTTTTTTTTTGTTGCCCAGTGTTTTTGACGACGATGATGACGACGATGACGATGACGTCAGCGACGATTGTGGTGACAATCAAGGCGATGATGACGTTTACAGTGTAGACGACGTTGCCAATTCTGGCGACGACAACAATGACAACAATGGTGATGATTACAATCACGGCCACGATGATGACAACTGTGACGACGATAATGACAACAATAATCACGTTGAAGACAATGATCACGACGACGATGATGACAGTGACGACAGCGACGAGGATGACGACGATCATTACGATGAAGCCATCGTCCACGACCACGGGCAGCAGCAACGATCGCAGCTGCGACGTGAACGCCCTCGGTGTGCGCGCGCGTGCGCGTGCGTGCACGCTCACGCATCCACGGGCGTCTCCCTCTCACCTCCGCAGCAGTAGCTTGGGGTGTCCCTTGCTCTCGAGGTTCTTGGCGATGAGGTCGGCGAGCAGCTGCTTGAGGACGTCCGTGGCGTAGCCCATGCGGCCCTGCATCGCGGCCATGACGAGCGACGCCAGGTTGCCGCGGTCGCGCATCGAGAAGCCGCGCTGCGCCTCCAGGGTGCGCACGAACACCAGCAGGAAGAGCTTGCAGCCCAGCAGCTGCTCGAAGAGCGCCAGGCCCTTCTCCACGCTCTCCTGCCCGTGGCCAGCCACCTGCGTTGGCGCAGCGGTGAGCGACCGTGGTGCGGGCAACAGAACAGGTGATGGTGATGATGATGATGAGGTAGGGGGTGGGTGTTGGTGGTGTGGTGCTGGTGGCATGTTGCAGCACAGAGGGCTGCAAGCCGGGGGTGCAGCAGCAGGGGCTGCGGTGATGCAGTATGTACCAGGGTGTGCATACTGCATCACCGCAGCAAGTGCGGCAGGAAGTGCAGCAGGGAATACATCAGAATGAATGTGCAGCGCAGAGTGTAGCAGGTCGTGCAGCATGGGGGTGCAGCAGGGTTCGCGGCAGGGGTTCGTGCAGCAGGTAGTGCAGCAGCAGAGTGTGGGCACCTCGAGTGGCCGAAGCACCGGGTGGTCGTCGATGCCCGGGAAGAGCACGCGAAGTGCGTACGTGCGGTACGCCAGGTGCGGGATCCCGGCGCCGTCCACGTCGCTCGTCAACTCGTCCACGTCTGTCTGCAGCTCCGCAAACGCTGAGGTGGATGCACGCACGGTTAGTCTATGGGTCCTATGGTCATCGACGGATCCTGTATGTGGGTTCTAAGTGATTCTGTGGGTCCTGTTTTAGGCTGTGCATCCTGTTAGCCTGTGCGCTCTAATTGAGTATATGGGTCTTCTTCTTGGTTTTTTCGGTAAAGTCACGTAGAATGGAAATAATAAAATAATGAAAATATTACATTAAATAATTCTCACGACGTTTCGGCCACAGCGCAAGCAGCCGTCCTCAGGTCTGTCGAGAAGACAGAGAGTCATTTAGATTCTGTCTTCTCGACAGACCTGTTCGTCACCTGAGGACGGCTGCTTGCGTTGTGGCCGAAACGTCGTGAGAATTATTTTATTATGTTTTATTTTTATTATTTTATTATTTCCATTCTACGTGATTTTACCGAAAGAACCAAGAAGATGAATCCCTGCAGTCACGAAAGCCTTAAATCGAAATTTATATAGGTTTTATTTGAGTCTCTAGCCACCATGTAACCCTATGGGTCATATGTAAGCCTATATGAGTCTTAAATGTGGTTTATGGGTCCATTGTAAGTCTATGAGTCTTACATGTACACTCTGGGTCCTATGATAGTCTACGGGTTTTCTGTGAGTTTATGGGTCTCATGTTGGCCTACGACTCCTGCGCTGCATAATTTGAGACCCGACTTAACATATCCGGGCAGAGATTTGCACGACTGAGGTTGTAATGGCAGGCAGTTGCGGTGGCGGAACAAATTTGACAAGAGCTCAGAAATGGGGCTTGTATCTGCAAAAGTTCAGGCCACGCGTGACCGAAATGTTAATTTACAAAACACAGATGTAAAATTAATGCCGCGTAAACGCTGCAGGGGGGGGGGTGGGGGGGGGGCGATGTTATGTTTGTGAACGACGCGTAAATCGCATTGTTGCTATTGCGGTGCCCGATGATTATAATTTTCGTAAAATGAGTTTATCGAACGGCGAAAATAAAGCCCCGTTCACAATTTCGGAACAAAAGTATTTTCTGTAATATGAAAAAAGAAAAAATAACTAAACCATGAAAACCGAGGAACGTCTCTGAAAAGGCACAAATTACCGAGCACGGATATGCGCGGGCGTGCGTTTATATTTAAGTGCACATTTAAAGTGTCACTGCTCAAGTGTCTATTTTTACATTGAGAATAATGTTCCAGCGAAGACTTTTTTTTATCAAAATTATCATCGCTGAGTGAAAAGAAAGGCAATGACATTTCGGCTAAATTGCCTTCCTTATAATAACTTAAGGAATCAGGACCACTTCTTCCAAGGAGACGAATTGACAAAGAAAGGGAGGGGAGGGAGATATAAAATGAATTTAAACAGTGCAGTATTTTGTCTATTTTTTTCAAGACAAAGAGACACTTAGAGAGAGCCGTTTGAATGGAAGGCTAGCTCAAAAGATCTAGGCTGAGACGTTTTAATAGGAGGTGGCTGAGTGGTTCGGTAGGGTTTATAATGACCTTGTCAGAGAGAGACACACAGAGCACGCGGAGCTGAGATGCTGGGTTTCAGCTGCTGCCTGTGATTAAACCGTGTTCTCAAGTGTAGTCAGTTGATGGTCTTAGCCATGGTTCGTTGATGGTCTTAGCTTTAGTAAATTTATGGCCTTAGCGATCGCCAAGTGATGGTCTTAGCTACAGGTCACGTGATGTTCTCAACCTGGACGCCAATGATTGTATGAAAAAAAACAGCGAATTAAAAAAAATATTTCTTAATTTATCTCATAAAACACACTGAGCAGAGGACTGGCAGCGATGATGATGAAGGAGTGGCGAGTTCTTCATCCAGCAGTAGATTGCCCATGGCTGATGATGATGATGATGATGACGAGTTCATTTTGGCTTATGCCAGCTTTGATAATGAAACATTTTAGTTGGACAGTTTTGACCGCTGGATTAAATTATTGAACACGGTATTCAATTACTCAGGAAAGCCTCACTCTCTGAAGAGTCTCACGACTGTCGGATAAAAAAAAATACACAAAAAACCCTGGCTCAAGGATTCAATCGACAAAAAAGGTTCAAGGCCTGTGACCCATCCACATTCATCATCAGCCATGCTTCATCCACTGCTGGATGAAGTCCCTACCTCTCACAGTATTCACGATGCAACGGTCATGGTGGCGAGATGTTAACTACCTCGCCCGGTATACAGTAGGTGGTCACGTGGATTTTTTCTTCCACATTTAAAAACAACGTGTGCTTGGCTGCTCTAAACTTCCACGCGATAAGCCAATCCGTTGAGCTATGATTTGTGACCTGCAACACGAGTTGATCTCGTAGCTTCATCTCCGTGGCGGGCGATGAGTGGGAACTATTCACCCACAACTTTGGCGGACGCTCCATTGCCACATCTATTTATTTATTTACTTACTTATTTATTTCCCCCCAGATAAGGCCCACTGAGCTGTACAAGCTCTTTTTTTCATCAGCGACCTGGCCACCAAATTATAGCTCAATGAAGTGGCTCATCAGGTGGGAATTCATAGCAGCCAAATGTTCCGAACGCACGTTTCTAAATGTGGAGGGAAAAACGGGAGGACCTAGAGAAAAATTCACGCGACCACGGGAAGAACATGCAAAGTTCAAATATACAAGCGTCATGGTCGGGATCGAACCCACGACTTCCTACATACCAGGCGAGGGAGTTAATATCTCGCCACCGTGGCACCCCAACTACCTTGGCTTAACCACGTTGTCATCACCAGCCCTTTCCCAACAGCCAAACTCGACGTTTACCTGACTGGCTCTCGGAACCCACGCCGCTTTCTCTTTCTGCCTTCCCGGTGTAATTCCACAACGGGGCTCCCGAATGCGCTACCTCCCACAGCCACACACAACCCCGAAGGGTTTGCATCTGAACGCAGACAGCTGGGTTATTATGAAAGTAAATATGAAAGCAAGATAGTTTGTTTTTTAAGACAGAGCCAGGAAAAACGGCAGCACAAAAAAAGAGCCCTTTAATTCCTCTTCAATAACAAAACAAACAAACAAAAATGCAACCCGATCCCTGGTGGCCCTGAAAATAATGCCGCGATAAAGAGACGTGATTAATGACGCTGTGAAGTCGAACTTGAAATGCGCGGCTGGCGGTTGGCGGGTGGCGTGCGGTGGTCGCCATGGTGCGCGTGGACCGTGAACTTTTGCGATGTCGGAGTCAAGAAGCTCGATCAATTCCCACGCTCGCGTCGCGCAAACGTACACCGCGCCGCTACCTATAGCGATCGATGCTGGCGCCGCCACCACCGCCACCACTACCACCACCGCCACCACTGCCGCCACCACCACCAACGCCACCAGCACCGCAACCACCACTGCCGCCGCCACCACCACCACCATCACCACCGCTGCCACCGCCAAAACTACAGAAACTGGTTTAACGCGCAAAGTGAAACCTTGTGGGAGGCGGCCGTCGTGGAAATAAAGGCGCAGTGACCGATGCGACGCAGCGCTTGAGTTTCTCACCAAATATTTTTCCAGGTCGCTGCGAGACTGGACTTGGTGGGCACGTGCCCAGTAGTAGCCACGACGGTCATAGTGAGAGGTGCGCCGGACGTGCTGTGCTGGACGTAATGTTCGCCACGGTGACGTTCGGTTCTGATTTTTGTTGTTGTCGCCGTAGTCATTATTCCCCCGGACGAAATCATTCTAAACTGCGCGAGGTCACTCAGCGATTGCATTGACAAAAAAGGGGCTCTACAACTGCACGTTATGCGCGGTTTGCAGAACTGCGTATAACGCGATGGACTAATCAATGCGAAGGGCCGCGAGGCGTGTGCACAAAGCACCCTTGCCAAAAGAAGGCGATTAAAAAAAAAAGTTAAGTAATTATAATAAAGGCGAAAATTTCAGGATCGCAGATGCCGCCCGGTCCATATTCTGGGAGCATGTCACGACGGCCGATGCCGTATTGGGCGCGTTTGAAATTCGCGTCGTTATTTACACCCTGACTGCAAATGCATTTGCAAGCCCGGCGGGATATCTTCACGCCAGGCCGGACAGAATTTCTATTTCGTCCACGGGAAAAAGAAGAAAAAAGAAACACATTTTTTTTTTCCCTTTTCGATAGCGAGCAATTTCAAATTATTTCTGGACTTTGGAAACATGAGGCTGGTTTATATATATATATATGTGTACATAATGTGTTATTTATTATTATTATTATTTTCACGACAACTGGATGCAGCAGCTTGTCTCCTCCAATTCGAACTCGCGTGTTAATTTTTCCGCCAGTGCCTTAATCCTGCGATTATTATCGGACGCAAGCTGCTCAAATCCGTTTGTGTTGCGGCGTGAAAGTGCTCTCCGCTAAGATAAATGAACAGGGTAATCTTTTGTTTGTTTGTTTGCACGTGTTGAGTTGTTTGCATTAAAAAGAAATGTTTAGATATTTTTTGCACGTTTCGTTATTTATAACAACAACAAAATCAATCCTTTCACGCGCACTCACGCACGCTTGCGCACGCACGCGCGCTCGCGCAAAGACCAAACAACGATCACCCCCCTCCTCCCCGCCGTTAAGAAGGCTGTTGGGGTAAGTGCTGTTTGCGAGCATCTGTTAAGGCCACATTGGGGCATTAGCAGGTGGTGGTGTGGCTATAACCACGCCCAGACACCTTTCTTTAAGGTTGAATTGACCTTTTGGAGCCCCAGGACCAGTTCAGATAATCGCGTTGGCTGTGAGCGGGAATTGGCACTCGGGTTTGCCCGGTTTGGGGTGCCGCGGTGGCGAGATGTTAAATACCTCGCCTGGTATACACGAGGTTGTGGGTTCGACCCTGACCCTGACTCCTGGACATTTGGAGTTTTTTCTCCGGGTCCTCCGGCTTTTTCCTCGACATTTGGAAAACATGCATTTCGAGTATTTGGCTGCGATAAATTTCCACACGATAAGCTACTCCGTTTCGCTATCATTTGTGGCTCAGTGTCTCTTACCTGGCAAAATAAAAAAATGCTATTTTAGTTTTTTGATTTGATTGTACCAGTGCGCTCAACACTGTGCCACCGCTGCCCATACACACAAACACACACCATCTAACGCAACAAGCAAACACAAATACACACCAACAACACACACAAAGAAATGCGTTTCAGGTGGTCGTGTGCCCCGCAACCGGCCGTCGCGCATGATCGATCGAAGAAAATCAACGATATTTTATCATCGACATCTGCCTGTAAATTGGTGTAGAGAATCGTGGCGAAAGAGCACGGAGGCTTTGTGAAGCCGATATCTCATTGGTTACCAACAGGAGCGAGAATTACTGGCCACCGGTGGCAGAGTATCGCTGAGCGCTTTCTATCTCCTTAAGTGTCACAACTCCTCGCGAGAGGCAAATTATTTGGTCCACCAATGGCGGTCAGAATGTTAGCAACGATCCACAGCCGCATGGTTCTGAGTTTGACTCCAGCTCAAAGGTCAACAGCGTATCTTCGCGTGGCCGTTACAGCGACTCGCATTTGTTTCCGGGTCAGACCGTCTGGTAGTTTAATTCCAGCATGATATTTGTTGAGCCCTCCACCACCCGACGATATCGAATGCGTGTGTGTGGAACTTCTTTTGCACCACATGTAGTCAACCGTGCTAATCGAAGGTGTGGGGGAAGGACAACAAACCAAGCACAAAAATCAATTTACGCTCGCATAGACACTACAGTATCGCACGTGGCCCGGGTAACGATTACAATTCTGACCGATGGAGCCGCCGCACGTCGGGAGAATCAGTACTCCTAGCGAAGGAATCCAACGTCGACGTTGGACTTTGTCGTGCCACTCGGACTGCCGTGAGTGGCGCCTGGGGAGCGGGCACGGAAATCGAGCGCTCGCTAGCCGAGGACATAAGACCACCACGTGGCCTAACCCACCATCGCTTGGGTGGGTTGGTGGCTGACTCACTGGTGTAAATGTAGCGTGGATGGATAGGTACTTGGGTGCGTAGGCGGTTAGGTGGGTAAATGGGTATTTGGGTGAATGGGTGGGTAGGTGGAAGGGTGAGTGGATAGTTGGGTGTCGGTAGTTTGTGTCTGACTGGCTGTATGCATGTTGCACTTCTGTCGCACCGTACTTGGCAAAGTATGCTAATTGGAGGTGCCGGGGAAGGACGAAAAACGGAACACAAAAAGCAGTTGGAAAGAAATTAGTCTTCAATCTCGACTTAAAAGTGCATAGCTCCAGTCGCTTCCCAAGAACGTCAACAGAGTAACGTGCTGTAGATTGCTCTGATAAAACACGCTGCGGTTCAGTGGAAAGTCACTGTAGGCAAGGGTGGGAGGTGGTGGTATAAGGGTGGGGGTGTGATAACGGGGATGAGTTGGCTTCAAATAAATTGTGAAGCAGAACTAAAACCCGCATCATTTCCTAAGCTGCCCCACGTCCTACCCCTCGGCTATACCTCCCCTCCACCCAGTCGATACCGATGCTTACCCACTCAGTGACATCTCAGCTCCACTGCCCTGTGTCCCACATGCCCCCCGCTCCCCCCCCCACCCCCGCCATCTCACCTCCTACCCCCTGGGCCACAGCTCCTCGGCGCCCGTCGCCGGCCCGCTCACCTTCTTTGCACTCGAGGGCGACGCGCGCCTCCAGGTTGTCCATCTGCGTCTGCAGCCGCTCCAGGTTGAGGTCACTCTCACGCGACTTGCGCTTGTAGGCGATGAGCATCGCCACGACGACCAGCGAGAGGAGCCCTCCTCCCGTCGCCATGCCGACGATGGTGGGCAGCGTGAGCAACTTGTCCGGATAGAGCTGCACGGTGATGGCGGCGAATTCCACGCCGCCCACGCACACCTAGCGCCGCGCAAAGGTAGAGACAAAGATCCCCCGTATAGCCTTAGGAGACTGTTGGGCACGAGTGCTGGCGGCTATATCACTCTTTAACAGAAGCGATTTGGCCACAACAACGATAGCTTCACCGAGTGGCTCATTATCGTCACGTGGAAATTCATCGCAGCCAAATGCTCTGAACGCACGTCGATTCTAAATGTGGAGGGAAAAGCCGGAGGACCCGGAGAACAATCCATGCGACCACCAGGAGAACATGCAAATTCCAACTATACAGCAGGCGTCAGTTTCGGGATGGAACCCGCGACCTCTTGTATACCACGCGAGGCACACAGCGCGGACAGAAGGGAACACGACGTTTTAAATAAAACTACTTTCAAATGAAACAAAAAACACACGATAGATTTGCTTCTTCAAAGTAAGGCATTAGCGGCATTACAGAAAAAAGGGCTTCGCAGCAACCCAAAGGAATTCCCGGAATAAAATAAATTATGTATTTTTCAGAGAACAACAAAAACAACAACAATAATAATAATGGGAATATAAACAAAATACTTTAAAGAGGAGATTGTTCAGCGGACTGGGATGTTTGATAATTAAGAGCCATGTTTGTCAATTAATTGCGTTTGTGGAGAGTTTTTTGTAATGGCAAAATAATTTTTTTTCAGTAATTTCACTCTAAAATATGTATTTTCCCGTGTCGTGCCCATCCGTCCATAATGTCCTCTGTATGTGCATTCATCCATCTCCTCATCATTTGTTGCCTGTCTGTCCATCTATCTATCCAACTGATCATCTGTCAATCTGCCCAATTATCCTTTTAGCTGTCTATCTATCGGTCCATTCATCTGTCCGTCTATCTGCCCATCCGCTCACGTATCTGTCAATTATGCCATCCATCCATCCCTTCCAATCGTTCATCTGTATGTCCTTACATCTGTCCATCTATCTATATGGCTGTCCGTCTATCAGTCTGTCTACCTGCCTGTCCATCCGTCTCTCCATCCATGCACTCAAATCTCAATGAATGTGTCAATCTATCTATATTTCTATTTATCTATCTATCCGCTCACGTGTCTACTATTTCTGCCATCCATCCATCTTTCTCAACCATCCACCCGTTTATCCGTCTGTGTGTCCGATAATCTTTCCGTTCGTCTCCACATTAGCAGGTCCGTCGGTGTCGCCTTACACCTGCCACAATCAACCGTGTACATTTCCATCTTATCATTTCGAACATTTATTTGTTGACTTACAAGTCTTTCAAGTTCCAATTAGATTGTGTTTAATTTACAATGACGCTCCTCCGCCTTCATCTCTCCAGCCACCGCTTTCTTTCCACCTCCTCTCATTAAACATTTCCATTCGTCTGAGCATTTCGCTCGGCACTCGTGGTTGAAACCATGCCACCGAGGTTGAAAGGCACGTCCCTTTTACAAAAGATACCAGGTGTTCGAGCATAAGCAGATCCAACGTCGGGAGCATTCCAAGTCATCGAATTAGCTTCGTTTGATGTTGTTTTCAGGGGTTAATCAATTTGGACATCGAGCGAGCGATGAAAGGAAGCGCCCAAACCAACGGCGGAATAAGAGACAAAAAGAAATGAAATTAGCCGACGGAAACTAATGAATATAAAAAAACACACAAAAAGGGGAATTATAATAATGCTCTTCTGCTGCGCGGCGTTTCTTTTCGTGCCGTCGGTGTGAACCGCGCGTTCGTCCCGCCCGACGTCCGACGTTCCGCCCCACCCGCCTGCCTGCCTGCTGACCGGCAGCGTCTGGAGGAACTGCATGGAGTGGCTCTCACGCCCCGGCGCGGTGGTAGGGCGCGGTCCGTGCCGGTGGCTGCTGCAGTTTTGCCGTAGGCCGGCCGTTGTGATTAATTCACTTTGTCGCTCGTGCACACGTGGTGAACGCCTTGCACTGTGCACACATGGTGGAAGCCATCCGTCGTCATCAACCATGGTCAATCCACTCCTGGATGAAGGCCCTCCCCCAAGCCACTGCCACCTCTCACGATTCTCCGATGTGATTCCATTGCTATATCTCCGTCGGTTTGACGTAATCTTGACCCATTCCATTAATTGGCTGCCATTCCGTTATTATTCTTAATCAATGGCCGTAATTATCATTATCGTCATCATCCCTTCTAGCAGTGTACCGTCCCCCAAGCCCCACTTTTATTAATGTTTTATTCACGCCATTACCCTGCGCATGATATCTCATCCGCATGTTCCTCTTTATAGCTCTCAACGCAATTCCAAGCGTGCGTCTCCCCGTTTTCCTTTGCGCACTTTTCAGTTTTCATTCCACATTTTTACCCGGTTGATGAACGCTTCAAGGGGGTAAAGGCGCAGCCCTGCAAATGCTCGTCTCACGTTACCGTTGGCGGAAGAAACTTACACCACGGGGGACTCGAGAGGGTCTTTGGTCTGCGACTTCCGCGCCGATCGTACGTCTTGGAAGAGCTGGGAGCATCCCCACTTTACCCCACCTATCGACTAACTGTGGCGGTACCCATGGACCGAGGTAGAGAGGATTTGAGAAACTTGCACCGTCGTTTCAACAACTGCCACGCCGGGTGGTGGAATCTAAACTAAGCTAACAAAAACTATTTTTTTTTTACCAGGTAGGGCCCAATGAGCTATGTAGCCCTTTTACGGAAGCGACCTGACCACAAGTGTTAGCTCAACGAAGAGGCGCATCACGTAGAAATGTATAGCAGCCAAAGACTCCAACAGGCACGTCGATTCTAAAAGTGGAGGGAAACACCGGAGGACCCGGAGAAAAATCCACGTGACCACGGAGAGAAGGACGTGAAAAAACTTCAAATAAACAGGCGTCAGGGCTGGGCTCAAACCCACGACCTCCTGCGAACCAGGTGAGGCGGTTAACGTCTCGCCACCGCAGTGCGATGTTAACTAACTGGGCGACCTCTGGATCGCAAGTCCGGCGCGCTGCCCAACCGTTGGCACCACGGCTCGCTAAGCGACAGACAGAGAGACAGATTCACGGAACGATTTGGTTCTCCCCGTGACACTCGTGGGTTGTGGGGGTGGTGGGGGGCTTACCGTCAGCGTGTGCCGGCCGGTGAGGTTGGGGGGGCATTCGACGAGCAGCTGGGTCTCGGAGATCGCCACGGTGCACACGCGGCCCCCCACGAGCGCTGTGTAGTTGAGGCGGAGCCCCCCGGAAGAGGGCGGCGGCGTCAGGTTGCGGCCCTGTTTTTTGTTTTTTTCAGGGGAGACAGAAGTGTGATTTTGTTTGATTTTGTTTTTGTTTCTTGATTGTCTATCTGCCTGTGTGTGTGTGTGTCTTTGTCATGGCTCCCTCAATTGTGTGTGTTTCTCTTGGGTGAGATAGCGTAAATTTAAATGTGTTGTTCAACACATTCACACTGTGTTGTTAAACACATTTAAACAGGGTGCTTCAAAGAAATGTTTTCACACGAGAATTTGCACTTCTGAGAACCACGAGAAATGTTTCTCCTCCGTGTTCTGGAGACTACTTGGAGACGATTCCAGACACGCGTTGACAACGATGGCGAACAAGTGGAGACTCTTTGACTTTTTGAAGCCATTAACGTTACATTCGTTATCATGTTACAGTGTATTATCCGTTCTTTTTTAATAAAAACGACAGTCCCATATAAGTGTTAAAAACACATTTTAAGTGCCCTGAATTTACGCAGTCTAACCCAACAAAAGCTCTATGTATATCGTTCACGACAGCCGACTACGTGTTAAACTCTTTCACCTGTCTCGTTCATTCTGTTTCATCTGCCTGTCTCTCTTCCCCATGATTTTTTGTTCACTTAAAATTGTCTTCATCATATAATTTCTCTCCCGTGCCTGTCCTGTCTTTCCATCTCTCTCAATCTCGTCTGCCTCTCTCTTCCGTCTGTCCATCTCATTCATTGTCCCGTCCGTCTGAATTGCCCTGCTCTTATCTGTACGACTGCCTCATTTGCTTATTGTCTCTTATCAAGAAAGTGATCGTGACGATGCGGGAAATATAAATAATTATATTAAATTAAGAGTAATGCATTCATTCAAAACGTCTCACCAACCAACATGTTCTCGGTGTGCATAAACAGAGACACCCCTTACCGTCGACATGCGCCGTTGATAATATTTGGTTCTTTCGGTAAAGTCACGTAGGTATAAAATAAAATGAATTAAATCACGACGTTTCGATCGCAACACAAGCGACTGTCAGATACAGCAGGAGAACTGCTGACATTCAAATTTATTTTCTACCTACGTAACTTTACCGAAAGAACCAAAGAGGATGGATCCCTGCAGTCACGAAAACTTCAGATCTAGAAACGCTGTTGAGTCGTGTGCCGTTAGCGAGCACCTATTTAGGCCGTTGCGGTGCACAAGGTGGTGTGGTGTGACCGGCGCTCTCTGACTCACCCCCACAGCGATGTCACTCACACACACACACACCGGAACCAGGGGGGGCTACTCCTTTAAAATTCAGAGACGACCAGGCACTCAGAACTTTGCCCGGGCCGTCACTCGCCACTGACGTGAGCCGTGGCTGGGGAATCGGAACTCAAGGTTTGGTGGGGGCCGGTTTTTTTTTCTTTCTCCCAGTAGCGCTGTCGAGTAAAACCCGCTGGGTGACGCTCGCGTGCGCGCGTGTGCACGTGTGGCAGAACGCACGCGCACACACAGATCACCGTTCACACCAAGTTAAAATCGCCGGCGCCCGGTGGCTGAGGGATATGGCATAATTCTAAATGTATGACTAATCACAGCTGCTGGGCAAACTTCTGTAGAAGCGCGTTTACAGAAAACACGACCGCCGTTTTGCAGGTGGCTCGTGTTTGAAATTTTGTACTGTTGTCTCTAAATATTATTTTGGGCAGTTTAATGAATGGCATTGCTTAATATCATAGTTTTTCTATGCTAACGTGTATATATGTGTATTTACGGGTATATTTAATTGTATATTTATATGTTTTACCGAAATAAAAACATAGCAATAAAGGTGTCAGTTTTGTACCAGTTTAAAAGGGTAAAAACCTACTACTATAGCAAAGCAAATTTTTGCAGAATGTATGCACAGCAGTCCAGCATTCCCTCGTTATTCACGAACTTTCTATCCGCGATTTTGGCTATCCGTGAATTGCATCTGGAACTCTATACGACTAACTGCATCAAGAGAGAAAGTGATGATGCGAGAAAGTTATTAAATAAAGTGATGTGCAGCATCATCATAATGTAAGGTAAGCTAATGTATAAACTATTAATATTTTAAAATTTATTTGTATTTACTTTATGTCCATTATAAGCTATTTACATATATTTGCATTTCTATAATTTCATGTATTTAATATCTTATTTACGTATTTACTTATGGTATTTCATTACAAAGAAATGTTCACGTATCCCTTGCGCATAACGAGGGGATCCTGTAACGCCAATACAACTATAATGATCACATTATCGTTTATATCAGCATTACAGACCACCGCCCTATCACGTACGTCAGAGGCGCAGTCCACATGTGTTGCTGTACCGCAGTAGCCCCGACAAATCAGGTCGACGGCTCCTCCTCGACCCCCACAACGAAGAGATTTTTGCCCAACATCCGTGCGGTGACCCCCCCCCCACCCCTGTCTCTTGCTGCCTTCCACAGCGCTGGATTACAGAGGGCCAAGCCACGTGCAGCGACGTAGCCACCGTGCCACGGGCCCCGCCCGGCTGTCAGTGTTCGGTTTCGTGGGGCATGGGTAATTGACATTAAAAGGCCGAACAATTCACCGCTTCTCGAGGTCCTATCACCCCCCCCCTCCTCCTCCCGCATTACAGATTCCCTTCCCCGTCGTTATAGCTCGCCCCGCCAATGCCGCGCGGGACATGAAATATAGATGACCTCGCCGAGCACATCGACCCTGAAGGACTTGCTCGAAGGCGCCGTCCAATTAGAGGGTTTTGGCCAGCTTCTGCCAAAAAGGTGTTTTGGGTGTCTTTTCACTCCCCCCCCCCACCCCCTACCGACCCACCCACCCACCTACGTTGTACGCGCATCTTTATAACGCACAACGCGGCCACACTCCACGCATTTACGCATGCACGCATCGTTGTCCGGAGCGATGCTCCTCGCGAAGATCCACCGGTCACAACGATCTGGAAGCTCGCCGCCTAAGTTCATGCGACCGAGGTTGAAAAACGACGGAACGAATGAATACAACTCAGACGGCGATAATTGGGATACGTCGGTCCGTTTTATCATTTACAATTGCCTAGCTTGTGGTGTGAAGCCCCCGTTTGAAAATTGTACAATGGATAGGCAAACACTGCTGGGGAGGGAGGAGTGGGTGGGGGTTGGGTTCCCCCTACGGCATTTCACATCAACAGGTGAGTTGATAACGGGTGAGGGTCAGGTGAGTTTATTACTGGTGATTGGTGAGGGTCAGGTGAGTTGATGACCAGTGAGGCTCAGGTGAGTTGATGACGGATGAGGCTCAGGTGAGTTGATAAGTGGTGAGGCTCAGGTGAGTTGATGATCGGTGAGGCTCAGGTGAGTTGATGAGTGGTGAGGCTCAGGTGAGTTGATGAGTGGTGAGGCTCAGGTGAGTTGATGAGTGGTGAGGCTTAGGTGAGTTGATGAGTGGTGAGGCTCAGGTGAGTTGATGAGTGGTGAGGCTCAGGTGAGTTGATGAGTGGTGAGGCTCAGGTGAGTTGATGATCGGTGAGGCTCAGGTGAGTTGATGAGCGGTGAGGCTCAGGTGAGTTGATGACGGGTGAGGCTCAGGTGAGTTGATGAGTGGTGAGGGTCAGGTGAGTTGATGAGTGGTGAGGCTCAGGTGAGTTGATGATCGGTGAGGCTCAGGTGAGTTGATGAGTGGTGAGGCTCAGGTGAGTTGATGAGTGGTGAGGCTCAGGTGAGTTGATGATCGGTGAGGCTCAGGTGAGTTGATGAGCGGTGAGGCTCAGGTGAGTTGATGACGGGTGAGGCTCAGGTGAGTTGATGACGGGTGAGGCTCAGGTGAGTTGATGACGGGTGAGTGGCGAGCATCATATTCGCAAAGAATCTCTGAAGAAGTTGTAAGCTATGGAAGAGGCATTCCTGGATGAATCGAAGAGATTGTGCGCAGCTCTGGTCAATGCGGTCGTGGACAGTGGGCGATCACACACGACCACTGACACGATTTGCAGCAGCAGCAGTAGGAGCATCAGTTGCAGCAGCAGAAGCACTTCTAAATCTTGACTGTGAACCCATATCTTGAGAACTTATTTTTGTGTTTAGTTTGTTGTCCCTTTCCCTGCACCTCTAGATTAGCGTGGTTGTCTACGTACGGTGCGAAAGAAGTTCAACGTACGTACTTGCATTAGCAGAAAAAAATAGGAGCGGCAGTATCAGCAGTGGTAGGAAGAGCAGCAGCAGCAGGAGTAACAGCAGGAGCATCAGGAGCAGTGAGAGTCAAGCAGCGGGGAGAGCGAGCGGGCACCAGTAGCAGCAGTAATATGAGCAGCAATGTGACCAGGAGCAGCAGCAGTATCAGCAGTGGTAGGAAGAGCAGGAGTAGCATTTAGGATCATCAGTGAAAGCAGCAGAAGCAGCAGTAGGAACAGCAGCAGGAGTAGCAGTATAAGCATGAGCAGCAGCAGTATCAGCAGTGGTAGGAAGAGCAGGAGTAGCATTTAGGATCATCAGTGAAAGAAGCAGAAGCAGCAGTAGGAACAGCAGCAGGAGTAGCAGCAGCAGTATCAGCAGTAGTAGGAAGAGCAGCAGCAGCAGGAGTATCAGTAGGAATAGCATCAGTAAAAGAAAAAGCAGCAGTGGGAGCAGCATGAGGCAGTGAGAGTCGAGCAAGCGTGGCGAGATCGAGCGGGCACCTTGAGGATGATGGGCGTGCCGGGCTTGACGTGGACGGCGCCAGCGAGGGGCACGTCGAAGGCCGGGTCCGGGTAGTACAGGAAGCTGGAGGCGTTGACCACGAGCGCCGAGCGCACCGCGTCGAGCACGAAGCCGAACTCGTCGACTCGCGACGGGCCGAGACCCGGCTCGAGGCCGGCGGGCCCCAGCGGCTCCGTCGTGATCCTCGGCGCCTTGCACACCATGCGCGTGTCGTTGTAGACCACGCACGTCTTGCAAGAGGCGGCGGCGGAGACACGAGAACGGACGGACGGACGACACGCGCGCGCGGCTCTTTAGTTAAAAATTTTCCGTCGTCATCGTCGTTTTTTATCGACGCCGATTCAAATCTCCACCTCGCGCGAACGCCGAGACGTAATAAGCCACTCAGCGCCTGCACACGAGCTGGTTTCATCGCTCCATCTCCTCGAGGGATGGTGTGCTCGAGGATTGCGTTCCATTCTGTGGCGGACACTCCTGAAAAGTGAGGACTTCATCCGAGGTTAAACTCACATGGACGTCATCCCCAGACGTGTTACATTCCTCGGCGGCCACTCCGTTGCTGTGGCTGAACCAGCAAGCATCGTCATTCGTAGTCTCCTCGACGCGTCCTTCACAAGGCCCGACTTACCTTCCTTTAGTTTGAATGATGCCACGACCCCCGCGCACGTTCTGTAACTCACACGGCCCTGCGTCTGTCTCACGATGTCATTCCCCAAGCACGCGTTTCTCCGCGCACTCTTCAGCTGTCGTTCCATACTCTCTATTGATGATCGCGTTACTTGAAGCTAATGCCATCGCCGCAGGCAGTAATTACGCACCGACATGAAAACAAAAATGCATGCTGAAAACAAGCAAGTAAAGGGATGAAACTAAATGATAATTCAACTTTGAAATGTTTTCTGCGTAAATATAGCAAATCGAACACTTAATGACGCCAAGCGCAAATGAGAGGCCGCTTTGTTTATCTCGCCTAGCCGAGCGACGCTCAAGACGCACACCGCTGCTGCGCGGACATCGGCAAGACGGGCGGTTGTATAATTATCGAAAAGCCTGGCGAGTCCGGCTCGCATTACCAAAAGAAAGAGTCGCATGAAAGTAAACAAACAACAAGTACCAACGCCGAAATGTCACGTTCGTCGTCAACGCCACACGCGGCGTGCGTCTCGCGGAATCTCGCTCGGGGGGCGGGGGGGGGGGAGTTGTTTGTTTGTTTGTCTCGCTCGCCGCGGTAACCCAAGAGCGGCACTTTGAAGCGAACGCGGCGAGGGAGGAAAACGTCGAGGCTGCGATGCTCGCGATGCTCTGAAACTCGCAGATTACGCGAAACGAAACGTGTGATACAACGACTTGGAACGCCTTGATCTCATTTTGTATATATTCTACACACGCATACACGCACACCCAACCAGCAAGGGGATATTTACCACCGCAGGAACGTGTCGTTTGTGTTTCCGACAAGCAGCGTAATTGACCGAGTCGTTGTATTTGTGTGTTGACCTTCGTTCGCACCGTACGTAGCCAACCGTGCTAATCGGAGGTTGTGCGTTCATGTTTTCCAAACGCAGGCGTGCCGGCGTTCGACTCATTGTCACGTCGAGCACGCGGGAGGGCAAAAACTGGACAACGCTGCGGCTTCACCGCCGACTTGTCGAGTTTTGTTTCATTTCGCAAAGAGTTCACGCGAAACAGTAAACGCGTTCGCAGGGTCGCGATTCCTGTTTCTATTTTTTACTTAACGCGTACACGTTCGTCGTGGGGGGAGAGTGAGCGGAGGAGTACGGCGTTTGTAAATAATGACGCTCAAAATGTCTCCATAAACATAACCCCGAATGGAATTGGAACACGGGCAAGGCGGTACGAGCCGCGACGGACAGCGCCGCACAGCACAGACATTCAGACGATACCCATTCAAAGCAAATGCGCAAGTCGGGAAGACGCGGCGCAGACAGCAGACAAGCCAGTCGCGTGGTGGCGGCGGCGGAGGAGAAGAGGCATGGATTTAGGGTCTAGACTTGATCGGGGAGACAGAGTCGGCCGCTCACGTGACAGCTGGGGAGGGAGGGAGGGGGTGAGTTTGTCTGCGCGCACGCACACAAAAAAAATCACACGAGCATCCGTGAAATATGACAAGCCGGAAAGCAAACGTAGACACCAACAAACAAACAACAATGAGGTCATCGCCACCATCCCTGCGATGGCGCTAGTGGTGCCGTCTCTGAAAGCAAGGGGTTATCGTGGCGAGTGAGGCAGGCAGACAGGCAGGCAGGCAAGGCAGCATATCAATCACAGCCAGAGCAGTTTCATCTTCTGTCCATCTCTCTCCGAGCCGGTCTCACTCACAGATATGTCTAACACCCCCCCCTCTCCACACCCACCAAGACCCCCACCGCTATCACCATAAATATGTCTGGAAAACTCCAGCGGAACACGGCTATCGCGAGCCTTCAAGTAAATATATATACGGGCATCAATCGAGAAGATTGACAAGATAAAGAGAGGGAAGAGTGTTACGACGCTCGGGCGGCGTTTCTTCGGCGGTATTTATTTTGTCACGGCGAGCGCGCTGGACGTGCCATCCGTATGCGATCTCGCGGCGCGGAGGTGGAAACGACGACGCGAGTTTCTTGAACCCCCCCCCACCACCACCGCCACCACCGCCTCGGTCTGCCCGGCGGCACGTGTCAATGGCTTGACCGCAGTGAGTCGCGCGCGCGTGCGTGCGTGCGCGTCGTGGTGGGGCAAATTGTGGGGAGCGGTGGCGCAGTGGTTCGCGCGTTGCGCTACGAACCTGGCGATCCGAGTTCGATTCCCGCGCTCACGACCAGCACCGGTGACGATTAATTGAACCGGTCCAAAGAGCTTTCCCTAGGTCGACTGAGCGTCAAATGAGTACCTGGTGCGGTGTGTAAACATCGTCACGAGGGAGGCGTGGTGTTGACCAACCACATCCCCGTGTGCCTTCATGCGTGCTCGCCAACAGCACTTGTCCCAATAGTTTGCTCAGGCTATACGGGGGATCTTTGTAAATTGTGGGTATGCACGATGAACTGCTTTCGCACCGTACATAGGCAAGCGTGCTATGTGTAGGTGTGGGGGGGGGTAAGGACAAGAGCAACTGCCACTTGTGACAATACGTGTGGCCAGCATGAAAGAGAAGGCCAAACGCCCTTGAGGGGGACTCTGTCTCGAGGCCCTCCCTCCCCCCCCATAGCTGAGACTATTTCACCAGCAGTAGTTGCAGAAAGACATTGCGAGGCCGTAGCTGCACCTTTACCCCTTACAGCGGATGGATTAAATTAGAATGGAGGATAATATTTTAAGATGATTCGGAAGATGACTGAAGCTTAACTGCTAAGCAATGGTGACTCGTTGACCTCCCGTTTTCAACATACACAGCAGGCAATACAATGAACACATAAACAAATAATGAACAAAACAATATAAAAGGTTTTTTTACACGTAAAATTAGCCGCACGGCCTTCTGGGAATGCATAATTTCAGCACAATTGACCTCGGAATAGCACGTTTGGCTCCGTGCAATGCGAAAGAAGTTCAACATACATACAACACACATTCTGGACCAGTTTCAACATTGAATGTCTCTTTGGTAGAATTACTTCACTAATAGTTTAGATTTTTGTTATATTATTTTTGTCTATTACATTGTGTTTTAAAGTCCTGTCGATGCCACGTGACAGCGATTTTTTCCCCCCAGATCGTCAAAAATATTCCCATTTTGGCTTCACTTCCGAGTCTTCTCAGATGAAGCCGACTATCTAGAGCGCACTCCCCGTTTAACACACTACTCCCGTCATCCCCTTGACGAATTCGAGTATTCTTTGGCTGCTGTGAATTTCTTCGGCGATGCCCAAAGACGCCTTCTTGGCGTCCGATGGTTCGACTTCGTCACAAATGTCACCGTTGCGTCTGCGAGCGCCCTCCCAGCGAGCGGGAGCTTAGCTCGACGGAGACGGCCATGTCACTTTTTTGGACGCCTCGCCCCCCCCACCCCGTCTTTGATGCACAAACTCCAGCAAAACCGCGCACTTCAGTCGGCCGTCGACGTTCGAAGGAGACCGCGACACTCAAAGGAATTGCGCGCGTCCCCGTGACCCCCCCCCCTCCCCCAATGACACGTGGATCAAACAAATCACTCGAGACACCGGTGTATGGCAGCCAAGAGAAGTTCTAGATTTGAAGCTTTCGTGACTGCAAGGATTCATACTCTTAGTTCTATCCCGATACGTTCCATTCATTGGCTACCACATTCTGATAAGCCCCCCCCCCCTCTCCTCCCCCCTAAACTTGTATTTAAGGGCTTACATCTTGAATCCTTGCCTCACTTGATGCAGCTAATCCGGCTGTGACTGTCCCACCTGATGACGGAGACTTGTGTTGCCTCCGAAACGTCGTGAGTTTATTGTTTTATTTTTATTAATTTTAATTTCATTTTTTACCTACGTGACTTTACCGAAAGAACTAAGAGTATGAAGCCAAGAGAAGCTCACGTGAATGCCGTCGCAAAAGGTCACACGTTTGTCTCAACGGCTCCTTCACTGACTAATGCGTGAGGAATGGATGAATGAATATACATTTACACGTGATAAGCCAGTGCGTTGAGCTATCCTTTGTGGTGGCCGGGTCGCTTCTGAAAAAGGGCTATGTGGCTCAGTGGGCCTTACCTGGTAAAATAAAAATAAAAACAGTTCATAGCGCTTTGCCTAACGTTCCTACACTTTGCACTCCTTGCGTGTTTTTTAGTGGACTGTTTGCTGTTGTAACGTTCTGACCCGCCCCTTACCGGATATCTGTGAAACGGAGCTTCAATGCCCATTGGATTTCTCCAGGCTAAGGAAAGATTCTGAATTGTGAATGCGCGGCTTCTTTCGACAGCCGCTGGCGAGCGATGCCTAATGGGCGAAACGCCTTTCGAAGCACGCGTTGCGTTGCCTTCGTGCGTCCCAGCTAATTACACCGCCGTGTTGGGACGAGTCAATTAAGCAACAATCACACAAAGACACGAAGATAAAGATCCCCCGTATAGCCTGAACAGACCGTAGGAGCAAGTGCTGTGAGCGAGCACCTATGAAGGGCGTGGCAAGCACTATGCCTGGCCGCCTTTGTTTCCCTAGTGGCGATGTTTACACACCGCTCCAGGACCTCATTTGAGACTGAGTCGACCTAGCGGAGTCCCAGAACGGGTTCAGACAATCTCCGTTCGTGTTGGCCG